AGAGAGAGAGAGAGAGAGAGAGAGAGAGAGAGAGAGAGAGAGAGAGAGAGAGAGAGAGAGAGAGAGAGAGAGAGAGTTTGAACTCGGACTTCGAATTTTGAACTTTAAATTCTTAACTGCTAAAGTCTTGAACTTTATTTAATATTTACCTTTATTCAAGTTTACTGCGAAGTGCTCTTTTTTTTTTTCCTTCACTTTTTCTTCCCTTGCAGCAGTTTGTGCTTTGCAGTGACTGTGTGCCAGCACAGTGAATGTCAAGGAATGATCATTCATGTTTGTCATATATCCCAACAGCTATGTCTTCCTTGAACACGGTTATACAATGAAACTGCATTCAACATGCGTAAGAGACCTGCCAATTTTTTATATAGTCTTTTTTTTTTTTTTTCAATCTGGACCGATCCGGACATGATCATCCGGACCATGTCCTGACGGTCCGGACTGGTCTGGAAACCCGGGCGTCCAGATCATATCTGGACCGACTGGTTGTCTGGGTCTGGATCGGTCCGGTGTCCGGGTTTGCGGTAGCCATAGACCATATCCCTTATCTCATTTGCTCCCTCTCGGGGTGCTCGGTGAACAATCCAAGATAAACGGATTCTCAAGCTAATCCGCTCTGGACTACAAGCTTTTTTTTCAAATGCCGCACGGAGAGATTCAAGAAGCGACCATAGGCGCCGCCAGGTCCTTCGGCCTTAGTCCCCTACTATGAATTATATACCTTAATGAACTCGACCACTTTAAAGTTTGAAGTCCTTTCTTCGTCTTTCACGCTTTCGCCGGATCCATTTTCTTGTCTATTGCTGGTGCTGTGTTCCGCCACTCTACCCTGCTTCCTCCCTCTATTATTGCCTCCACTTCCCAATTATACTCTGCTCTGACACCTTCTCATCGCTGGGCCTTCCTTTGTCCTTCATACCCTTCCTTAATACCCTGCTTTGGCCCATATCCCTTATCTTAGGCGCCGCCGGGCCCTTCGGCCTTAGTCCCCTACTATCAAATATAGACCTTATTAACCTTAATGAACTCAACCACTTTAAAGTCTTTTCATCTTTTACGCTTTCTCGGATCCATTTCCTAGTCTATTGCTGCTGCTGTGTTTTGCGGCTCTACCCTGATTCGTCTCTCTATTATTGCCTCCACTTCCCAATTATACGCTACTCTGACGTCTTCTCGTCAATGGGCCTTCCTTTCTCCTTCATACCTTTGCTTAAACCACCAGTACTTCCTAGAGTCGTGCCCGTTAACGCGCCACGATTTTAGGAAACGTACGGACTACTACAGGAGCGCCCAAATTCATCCGACTAGAAACGTTTCTACTCCCGCGGCCGATAGCTGGGCCAAGTACTGGTGGCTTAATACCCTGCTTCGGCCCATATCCCTTATCTTAGGCGCCGCCAGGCCCTTGGCCTTAGTCTGCTACTACCAAATATGTACCTTAATGAACTCGACCACTTTAAAGTCTTTTCTTCTTCTTTCACGCTTTGTCGGATCGAATTCCTTGTCTATTGCTGCTGCTGTGTTTTGCCGCTCTACCCTGATTCGTCTCTCTATTATTCCCTCCGTTTCCCAATTATACTCTACTCTGACGCCTTCTCGTCGCCGGGCCTTCCTTTCCCCTTCATACCCTTGCTTAATACCCTGCTTCGCCCCATATCCCTTGTCTCATTGCTCCCTGGCGGGGTGCTCTTCTACTTCTAGTTCCTTATTGTCCTTTGCCTTTTTTTTTTTTTTTTTTACCTGTGTGTGTGTGTGCTCACAGGACCCACCCCTTCCTACCTCAATGTTCTTCTTTCCTTTAGCGTAACCCCTCATTCTCCGTCTACGGGCCCACTGTTGGCCCTACCGACTCCAGATTAGGAATTTTAAGCGTTGGTGGTTCAGCAACTTCAGCCCCCCCTAACTGCGGCTATTTTTCCTTGCATGAGCCATTCTTCCGCTAAGCCTTTTCTTGAAATTTCTTCTGCTTTCTTTGTCAATTACTGCCCTGCTGTTTTTCGCCACTCTACTGTGGCACCTGGGCCGTGGTCCCACTAGCGAAGGGGATAGGATATAAATCCTGAATCTGGCTATGTTTTATACAGAGATACAGAAAAGCAGTTCTATCTCGAGTTCTTGCTCCTGTCCTCAAACACGTCCAGATTCGGGCATTCAATCCGATCCTCTTTGCTAGTGGGACCACGGCCCTGCCCTCGCTTCTTTCCGAGATTCCTCTGTCAAGGGTTTCTTTTCAGTACCTATTTGTTTCTTTCCTCATTCATCTTGACCTCGATTATATTACCCATAAGGCTGCCCTCGCTTCGTCTGAGCAGATCCACAATGTTCCAATCCTTTGCTTCTACTACTCGGCGTACTCGCAGTCTGTCGTCTGCTGTGACGAGGAGAAGAAAGGTTCTCTACGGAAGTTAAAACTTGCTGGATTTTCCCAAACTTTAACCTCTTTCACTCGTTCCCAATGTCTTCTTGGCATGCGGACATTCTATTAGCTTGTGGGCTAGGGGGGTAAGCACATTTTGGCAGAGGGGCGATCCTTCTGTTCTCGGTTTTAATCTTCTGCGCTAGGCTACGAGCCGGGCCGCCCGGATCACCCGATTTCCCCGGGCGGCCCGGCCGTACAAGGACTAGGGAAGGTCCCGGCCAAAAACGAAAACGAAAAAAAAAAATCCAAATAATCCGAAAAAGAAACTATGTTATGCAGAAAAATAAACTGAACAACTTTTGCTTCAGGGTCACATCGAAATTCTTTACCAAATTTAAAACAAAATTTTAAATTAAAAAATAATTTTTATTTTTATTTATGTTTTTTAGTTTTTTTAACTTCTTTATTTCTTTGTTTGTTTTTGGCCCAGCCGGGCAAGTGCACCCGGGCCACTCTGGTAGCCTGGCTTCTGCGCATATTTACTGAAACTGCTCTCTATAAGGATTGACCACTGTAGAGATTTTTTTTTTATTTTTTTATTTTTTTTTTTATAAATAAAACAGGTCTTATTCTGATTCTGTGTGGGATTAAAAAAAAAAAAAAAAAAAAAAAAACGATTCTCTGTGGGATCACGCCCCTTCTAGTGATCACATAGAATTGTAGTATTGTACTAAGTGACTCGGGGTTTATTCCCATATTTTTGGCCCGCTTGTTTGCTAGGACTTGTCGGGGGTCCTCCGACTTTTCCCTTATCCTGTGCTGTGAATCCACCATGCAGATGTTGAGGAACACTCTGATCGGGCTCGTCTTGGAATTTCCATATGTTTATCCATGCATGCCCCTTGCTTGTTTTGGTTTTAGCTGGGGCAGAGAAGGAGCTGTCTCTTATACACATCTAGATGTGTATAAGAG